CCATGATCACAAATTGCCGCATCACCGAGAAACACTATTACTCTCATTTACGTGAAACCGTGAACAATTTTTGAAAATCATGACTTTTTTTTTAACTGTGAACATATCTAAAATCATGAATAACTTTCAAACTCGTGAACATTTTTACGGATCATTGAACGTTTTCTAAAAATCATGAAAAAGTTATTCATGAATATTTTATATTATTTGCAAACCTTTTACAAAACTGTGAACATTTTTAAATCATTTTTTTCTTAAATAGCTGAACATTTTTAGAATCGACAAACATTTTATTTTGGAAATTGGTGAAACAATTTTTGAAATTCACATAATTTTATTTATTTTGCGAACATTTTTTGAAATGCATGATCATTTTTTGAATTTGTGAATATTTTTATGAATAAATAAACTATTCTGTAAGTCATGAACATTTTTGAATTTTTAGTAGTCCATGACCATTTTTTGGATTGGCGAAATTTTGTTCAATTTCATTAACATTTTTTAATACACGAACTTTAAAAAAATCATGAACATTTTAATATTTCACAAACATTTGTTTTCAAAATTGCTATCACTTTTTGAATATTCGATTTTTTAAAAAAAATCACGAACATTTTCAGAACCCACAAATATTTATGAATTATTAAATATTTTATTTTAAAATTAACATTTTTTAAAATTCTCGCAACTTTTTTGAAGTCCCAAAATTATTTAAAGTAGAAAGAAAAAGTAAAATTTAAAAAACAGGCCTCCAAGACATGGGCTGGCCCAAACATGTGCGTTGTGTCTTCTCCAAGCATGAAAAGCGCAGTGTAGAAGATTCCTACTGTACGAGACGGTATAGGTGGCATAGGTGGATGATATGTAGAGGCTGCTACGGATCAGCTGGAAATCATCCGCCTGGCCAGCCGTTTGACTAGGCAAATGTGGCCTGTCCGATTAGAGCAACTCAACTCCTCACGTCGTCCTTCTCTCCTCTCGTCTTGCATCCACAAGCCCCCCGACGCCCACTTCCTCTCAGCAACGACAACGACTGCACACCCCTGTTACACCGACGACTGCAGTACCGACGCACCTGCCGGAGCCCCAACGCCGGCGAGCGCACGCAGCTACCAAAGCCGCCAGCAACCGCTGCATCGTAGCACCGGGAGCCACCGGGGGCTGCTCTGTGGTAAGACCGAGCACGCCGCCGCCGCGCGAAAGCTTCACTGCAGCTCCGACGAAAGTTTCATTGCCGCGCCAGTGAGCTTCAACATCCCCCCGGCACTTCATTGCAAGTCCGGCGACGCTTCACTGTAGCTCCGGCAGTGCTTCATTGCAACATGGGTGGAGCTTCAACGACCCCGCATGCAACACAACACGGCGGCTGTGAACGGGTTGTTACGTCGCAGATCACAGCCGTGGACGCGTTGCTGCCTTGCAGCACCAGCGGTCGCCGACGAGCGCCGTACCGCATCGCCGCAGCAGCAAAAAACGAGCAGTTGCCCTCCCGTCTGTATGTTGCATCACACCAGAGCACCGAGTGTCGCCCATGCGCGTGGTTGCAGGCTACGGCGGTGCCCGCTTCCCTCTGGTTCGTAGCAGCGGCGTGGGGCGGCGATGCCGTGGGAGCTCCTCTGTTGAGCAGCGGTGAACAGGTGGGGAAGGAAATGTGTGGAGGAGAGACGATGCGAAGAGATAAGGTCGCGGCGACTTGAGGGGAAGCGGTGGATGGGCCAGGGACACGTGTTGACTGTAGCACGCGGTTTACGCCTGTGATAGATCAGTCGGACGATTCTAATACTTTTCCATAATACTAGTAAAAGGCCCGTGCGTTGCAACGGGAGAAAAAAAATTATAATCTACAATGGCCATGACCACATTTTGCTGCATCAGTGAGATACACTATCACTCTCAATTTCGAGAAATCATGACATTTCTTTAAACTCGTGCACATATTTGAAATCATAAACATTTTTCAAATTTGTGAACACTTTTACAAATTTTCGATCATTTTCTAAAATCAAAAACATTATTTGATTCATGAACATTTTATACTATTTTAAAAAATTTAAAAAAGATTCAACATTTTTTAAAACAATTTTCTTGAATCAGTGAACATTTCTAGAATCGACAAACATTATTTTGGAAATTGGTGGAACAAAATTTTGAAATCCACGAACATTTTCTGAAATGCATGATCATTTTTGAATCAATGGACATTTAATGAATGAATAGACTACTCTGTAAGCCACGAACAGTTTTTGTATTTTAAGGATATTTTTTCACTCATAAACATTTTTTGAATTGGCAAAATTCTGTTCAACTTCATTACAATTTTTTAATACACAAACTTTTTAAAAATTCATGAACATTTGTTTTCAAAATTTGGAACATTTTTTGAATAAGCAAACATTTTCTTTACAAAATCGCGAACATTTTTTGACTCAACAAACATTTTATTTGAAAATTCTCATTTTTAAAATTTTCGGACTTCTTTGAATTCCCTAATTGTTTATGATGTATATTAGAATATAGTAACTTCTGCCAAGAAAATAATTCTAGAAAACCATGCACTTGCACTCACCTTCGCGCAATATTTTTTTTCTGTTCCTGCTATACATCGCCTTGTACGTGTTCGCATTGTGTTTTTTTTATATGAGGCAATCAGGCGTTGCTTCCATTGATTAAGGAGAGTGTTCAGTACATTGAAATGCAGTACAAGGAAAGGTGAAAATACAAAGAAAATAAAGAACTCTGGTTCAAGAAGATTATTTACAGAGTATAGTTTTGCTTGCTCGAAGCTTGCTGCAATTGGAAGAAATCCACATATAGCTTGTTCTCTGCGAAACTTTGCAAGGCATCGACGCTATCCGTTAAACAAATTAGCATACTCCTGTGATCCCATCATGAATTTTAAAATCTGTAGAGAGCTGCATGATTGTTTAGTACTCCAAAAGAATTAAATGCGCCATGGTAATTTAAATTTTGAAACATGCTTCTGCAGCCTGTTCAAAAAAAGGGCAATGAATTCTTAGCTCAAGTTTAGGATCAGAAAAATGAGACTGACATCCACTGATGGGATAGTAGGCAAGATGAATATGTGTTGATTCTGTTGGAACCAAATCCTTAGCCATGGCATGCATCATCAGTTTACTTACACTATGAGGAAAAATGTTAAAAGCTTTTGGCATAAAAACCTGCATATATTTCTCACTTCTACTGGGAAAACATGTCTAGATGAGCATTATGTCTGCAAAATTCAGCTAGCAGCAGCGATAGCAAAATTTAGCTACCACAAAGTTCAGCTAGCACCAGCAATGGCAAAATTCAGCTAGCAGTGAAGCACCACATCATGACTATCTCATTCTCCTTATCACAACCTGACCGAGGCCATGCCAATGGAGAGAAAAAAATCGCAAGGGCCTATCCCAATAAGTATGACTCAAAACCAGCATAGGTCCCCATCCCACTTTTTAATAGGACGCGCTTCAAGCACACTTTCCTCAGCTACATGTATAAAACTACCATTAAGGCTGCCAGACAACACATAAGCTCCTTTTTTGGAACATCACTCATGTCTTGTTAAGAGGAAATGGGCAATAGCACCACCAAGTAAATCAATCTCGAAAAAGAAATAAAGTTTCCAGATGTGTTTACTGAACTGTGTTACACAAATGTACGTCAGGTCCCTTCTCTATAGTTTCATAATGGAGAACAATGATGTCCTACAATCATCAAAATGGTGAGGTTAATTTACAAAAACTAACAATTTTTGTTATGATGAAACCTTCTAACTGCATCCAAAGGTTGAGATCAAAGAAAATATATGATCCTCGTCCATACAGTGAACTTTTGACAAGAGGTGCCACATTTGGAGTGTGTCAGCCACACACAACACTTTATGTGGTACAACCTTTGCTATATCTGGAAAATAGTACCTGTTTTACTTTGGTTTTCCTGATACAACTGATGAATAGTTGTCCCAAAATTTGTATTCTGAGTTCATATCAATCATGTAGATTCACCATTTTTCTAAAAGAATAAGATTTGCATCACATATGTAAAAATAATAATGATTTAAATACTACAGGATATGCCCAACATCAAAGAGTTCTTTTTCCACTTAGCAGACTATGATATCCTATAGTTTACAAAAAGCTCACATATCTAGTTCAAAGGAGTAGCTCTTTAAAATTAAGCAGTGGCCTAAAAACTGAAATATTTGGTATGCTTTTAGAGCTGGTGACTTGCTAACTTCCCTTTGTTATCTAATTTCTGGGCACATTGGCATACTGGCATGATAAAGACATGGTGACTTTGCTATAATTAAATACATGTACCGTGTGATTCTACAGGAAAAATGCAAGGAATGCCCACCAAGTGCATCGCTGCAAGCATGGGAGTTCCTTGCCTCTCCAGCGACTACCATCTGATTCTCCAATCCGTCATACTTCAACACCTACATGAGGAGGCTTAAGTTTTCAAAATCAAATGGAAGGTCAAATTCAAGCAATTATTAAGCAATTCTATAACTCAACTCACACTGAAGCTGGAGGATCTCCTATCGAGACGAAGCTTGCATTCAGAAGACGTGCCATCATACACATCAATTACAAATATACCAGCTCCCTTCCACGCAAAACTGCATTTGACATGGTCGAATTGGCTGAACATTTCGTAAATGAAGAAAACCAAAAGATAACAAAAAACAGGAACCTTGTCACTAACCATATATAAATAGCATAGAGCAGGAACCTAGTTCATATTAACCATGGTCATAAAATTGAATTTATATGTACTAATTTGTGGTCACGATAAGAGATGATTACACACCAAAAGAAAACAAAAAAGTATATGTAACTAAACCATAATCAGATTGACTCTTATTTGTACGGTTCGTCCATCTAATGTATGCCTGATGTATAACAAAAATATATTTGAATATAGTATATGCTCCAGGTTTCACCACTGGAACACATATATAGGGATCACAAACATATGGTTTGTGGTGCAGGATTCTAGATATTGAATGCAAGCATCATGCCCAGTACCAACCAGAGAATCATGTATTCCAATGCAACAATACTACTATTATTTATCCTATTAGTTCCAGTAGTTATCATATTAGTTCTCACAAAACTAACTGGATAACTATGCAGTGTCATCATCATTTTCTGTAGTGTTGACATGCAGGCAAAAAGAATCCAATGTTCGGTTCTAGGTGCAGATAAATCTGATGTATTTGCGCCACCACGAAAAAGCGAAGAGTTATTTGTTAGAATTGACTTACATATCAATATGTTCAGTGAGCGCTGCACCAAAGAGCGCATATAATTAGTACAATACTGGAAGCTTTGGCTCAAAAAAGGTTAACCTCTAATATGGGTCAGCTCTGCTGCACCAGAGAATTGTAAACATGGACATGATAAAATAAGGAACCATATAGGCGTATTACGAACATTAGTGTAAAGCAAACATATCTTAGTTGTGGGCTCTAACCGCTGAAAAGAACATGATCAGAGTAATTAAAAGTACTGAACAAAGCGAGTGGTAGGGAGATGAACTTCGGGTGGATGGTCTCTAGGAGAACTGCCGGAGGTATGGATTCCTGAAGAATAACAAATGGTCCATAACAATTCATGTGCAGTTGGGCAGTGGTTCAGCGCTAGGATATTAACTACCTGTAGATGAATCCACCATGAGGCTGGGATTTGGTAGATGGGAGATGGGGCAGCAAGGTAGATGGAAGCAGGAAGGACAATAGTGGAAAATATAACAAGTTAGTGAAACCATAGTTACACCAGGTTGTTCTACAACATAATCAGCAACGAATTATCCAAAGGTTGAGTAAAAATGGTCCAATGTTCAATATAAAAATACAAAGAAGCTATTGCACCGAAAGTGAACATTTTAAGGCAGAATGCTAAACATAAACTTCAGGGTTAAGGTAGCATTATTTTTGGGCACCGCATCTTATGGATGCTGCAAATTACTTCCAGAAAGTATATCTGATCTAAATTGATATGCAGAGACAGAGAAAATTATACCAACTGCCAATATAAGCTGGGACTAAAGACTGAACAAACTCGTCCATATCATGAAGTCCAGTATCTGCAATCATCCAAAGCAAAGTAAGAAACAGAAGTACCATAAACACATGTAAGATGGTTATGGACCACTTGTCTAGCAATGCAAGCTTACCATCAGGGGCGGCATCACAGACAACCAAGTCTGCTTTACATCCATCAAAGTGCCTGATAACCTGGCAGCATATGTACATCTGTTACAACAATACAAGCAAAAGTTTTATTACAAAGAATTTATCTATGCGTCGATCTATCCATCTCATCACTTCCGCTGCCCGATCATTGGTGATGTCGCCCTGCACTTTTATAACACCTTCTATCGGAGCCATCGATTGCAGATCAATTCCGGCCACCATGTCTGGTATATGCAGAGCACAGAAACAATCAGATACAAAGAATGAAATTATGTTAGAACATAAGATGTTCGCACTGACGCTGCTACTCACTTGCCGTCAGATGATAGCTTTGCCGGTAGATACAAATTGCGGCTCAAAATCTGCAATTGTGATTGAGATAAGCAATTGAACAAAGGGATGCAAGCATGCATGGGGGAAACCGAGCATGTGAATACCTGGCTCCAGCTCCCAGGAGCGGCGCACAGGTCAACGACACGCTTCACTCCTGCACACATGAACATCAAAACGAAAGCAACATGTCGTTAATTTGATGTTGCACGCCAATGGAAGCATAGTGGCAGGAAGGTGAGCGAGTTGATTGGGTTGAGACGAGACCGTGGAAGATGTTGAGCTCCCGGTCGATCTGCATGAGCTTGAAGGCGCTGCGAGCCCTCCGCCCCTCCTCCTTGGCCTTCCGGTAGTAGATGTCCTGGGAAACCGCCGGACAGAGCCGCCACTTCGCGCCTATGGCCGGCAAGCCACCGACAAGCAGCAGCAGGACACCGCCGCACCTCACCTCTCCCTTCTCTTTCCCTCCGGCCTCCCATCTCCTTCCTCCCATCCTCCCTTTTCTCTCCCGCTCATCTCTCTCTTCTCTCACAGGTACCCGACGCTATGCCACGCCCGCCAGCCGTCGTGCTCCGAGCTCCGGCCGCCTTCCTTCCAGATCCGGTGCCTGCGCGCCGTTTCCCACCGGATCCGGCGAGAATCGACCGGTCCTCGCCGACGGCGCCACCGCAAGCCCCTGGCTGCCGCTGGTCTCGTCTGCGTCGTGGGCGACGCATCGGCCCTTCTTGCTTGCCCGCCTCTCCTTCAAGCCTCTCCATTTTCTCTTTAGTCTCCGCGCGCGCCCCCCGCCTCCCTGCCGCCGCCTGATGTGACGCCCGAGTGCAGCGCCGCCGCCCCCTGCAAAAAACGAAAGGTAAGGATCGCGGGTTGAATACTCCCAACTCCAGGGTTCTTTTTGTAAAAACGAAACGTTTTCTCATATTAGTAACTTAAAATAGGACTGCGGGTTTATTTCAAAGAAACAGAGGGGCTTTTTCGCAAAAACGCCGACGACGTACGGGCAGAAGCACTCCGTGCTTTATTAGTAGGGAAAGAGGGAAAGATTTTACAAACTTTTGGGGTAATTTCGGTGACGTACGGCCAAAAACAGTATCCCCTTTATTATTAGATTAGAGATAAAGATTTTCTTGGCCATGCAGATTTCGGCTGATTCCATAGAATTGAAAAAAAAATCAGCCACGAGCCAATGTTATTCAACAAGAGAAGACGCTTGAGGTTTACTCCCTCCCTCCGCCGATAAGTGTACATCTAGCTTTTATTCTAAGTCAAACTTTCAAATTTTTGACCAACTTTATAGAAAATAGTAGTAATATATATGACATCAAATTGATATATTATCAAAGTACATTTCGAAACGAATCTAGTGACAGTAATTTGGTGCCATAAATGCTTTTACTTTTTCCTAGAAAGGTGGTCAAAGTTGTTGGAAATATGCCCTAGAGGCGATAATAAAAAGATTATTATTATATTTCCTTATTCATGATAATTGTCTTTTATTCATGCTATAATTGTATTATCCGGAAATCATAATACACGTGTGAATACATAAACCACAACATGTCCCTAGTGAGCCTCTAGTTGACCAGATCGTTGATCAACTGATAGTCATGGTTTCCTGACTATGAACATTGGATGTCATCGATAACGGGATCACATCATTAGGAGAATGATGTGATGGACAAGACCCAATCCTAAGCATAGCACAAGATCGTGTAGTTCGTTTGCTAGAGCTTTTCCAATGTCAAGTATCTTTCCCTTAGACCATGAGATCGTGTAACTCCCGGATACCGTAGGAGTGCTTTGGGTGTACCAAACGTCACAACGTAACTGGGTGATTATAAAGGTATACTACGGGTATCTCCGAAAGTGTCTGTTGGGTTGACACGAATCAGGACTGGGATTTGTCACTCCGTATGACGGAGAGGTATCTCTGGGCCCACTCAATAATGCATCATCATAATGAGCTCAAAGTGACCAAGTGTCTGTTCACGGGATCATGCATTACGGTACGAGTAAAGTGACTTGGCAGTAACGAGATTGAATGAGGTATTGGGATACTGACGATCGAATCTCGGGCAAGTAACATACCGATTGACAAAGGGAATTGTATATGGGGTTGCTTGAATCCTCGACATCATGGTTCATCCGATGAGATCATCGAGGAGCATGTGGGAGCCAACATGGGTATCCAGATCCCGCTGTTGGTTATTGACCGGAGAGCCATCTCGGTCATGTCTACGTGTCTGCCGAACTCGTAGGGTCTACACACTTAAGGTTCGGTGACGCTAGGGTTGTAGAGATATGAGTATGCAGCAAACCGAAAGTTGTTTGGAGTCCCGGTTGAGATCCCGCACGTCACGAGGAGTTCCGGAATGGTCCTGAGGTAAAGAATTATATATGGGAAGTCGAGTTTCGGCCATCGGAAAAGTTTCGGGGGTTACCGGTATTGTACCGGGACCACCGGAAGGGTCCCGGGGGTCCACCGGGTGGGGCCACCTATCCCAGAGGGCCCCATGGGCTGAAGTGGGAGGGGAACCAGTCCTGGTGGGCTGGTGCGCCCCCCCTGGGCCCCCCTCTGTGCCTAGGGTTGGGATGTTGGAAATATGCCCTAGAGGCAATAATAAAAGGATTATTATTATATTTCTTTGTTCATGATAGTTGTCTTTTATTCATGCTATAATTGTATTATCCGGAAATTGTAATACACGTGTGAATACTTAGACCACAACATGTTCCTAGTGAGCCTCTAGTTGACTAGCTCGTTGATCAACAGATAGTCATGGTTTCCTGACTATGGACATTGGATGTCATTGATAACGAGATCACATCATTAGGAGAATGATGTGATGGACAAGACCCAATCCTAAGCATAGCACACGATCGTGTAGTTCGTTTTGCTAGAGCTTTTCCAATGTCAAGTATCTCTTCCTTAGACCATGAGATCGTGCAACTTCCAGATACCGTAGGAGTGCTTTGGATGTACCAAACGTCACAACGTAACTGGGTGACTATAAAGGTATACTACGGGTATCTCCAAAAGTGTCTGTTGGGTTGACACGGATCGAGACTGGGATTTGTCACTCCGTATTACGGAGAGGTATCACTGGGCCCACTAGGTAGTGCATCATCATAATGAGCTCAAAGTGACCAAGTGTCTGGTCACGGGATCATGCATTACGGTACGATTAAAGTGACTTGCCGGTAACAAGATTCAACGAGGTATTGGGATACTGACGATCGAATCTCGGGCAAGTAACATACCGTTTGACAAAAGGAATTGTATACGGGGTTACTTGAATCCTCGACATCGTGGTTCATCCGATGAGATCATCGAGGAGCATGTGGGAGCCAACATGGGTATCCAGATCCCGCTGTTGGTTATTGACCGGAGAGCCGTCTCGGTCATGTCTACGTGTCTCCCGAACCCGTAGGGTCTACACACTTAAGGTTCGGTGACGCTAGGGTTGTATGAATATGAGTATGCAGCAAACCGAAAGTTGTTCAGAGTCCTGGATGAGATCCTGGACGTCACGAGGAGTTCCGGAATGGTCCAGAGGTAAAGAATTATATATAGGAAGTGCAGTTTCGGCCATCGGGAGAGTTTCGGGGGTCACCGGTATTGTATCGGGACCACCAGAAGGGTCCCGGGGGTCCACCGGGTGGGGCCACCTATCCCGAAGGGCCCCGTGGGCTGAAGTGGGAGGGGAACCAGCCCCTAGTGGGCTGGTGCGCCCCCCCTGCGCCTAGGGTTGGAAACCCTAGGGTGGGGGGCGCCTCCAC